GTAGTTACTTAAGTAAAAAAACTTGAATGGAAATGCTTATTGTTAAACTAATGAATGCAAAATGGAATGTGAGACGAAAACAAAAGAAATGGTTCTTGTTCAGTTGGTTCTCTCTCTTTTCGTTTCAATTTTTACCTTATTGAATAACTAATTAGCAAAATTTATTTATCAGAGAGAGAGAGAGAGAGAGAGAGAGAAATGGACGGAAAGAATTAGTCAAAGTTATATAGAATAACTTCTAGGTATATCTAGCAATTAAAATGAAAACCATTTATCATTTTAGAGATATTGATTTAAAATTGAAAAATGTACAAAACGTATGCGAAATATTATAAAAGTGGTATTTATTGTATTAATCCCTCTCTCACAATCTATTCTGTATATTGGGTATTTAAAATGTAACAAAGCCAACAATATTTTTAATGAAACATGCATGGATCTAGTGGGTGAACTACGAACACTCCGAAATGATATGGTATTGTATATATATGCAAATGCAAATGCAAATGTTTATGTAGAAAATGAGAAAAAGTGACATAAAAAACAAAACCAAAAAAAGCCAATGGACTAAAAAACAAACAATTATTATATGATTCACAAGTACCAACATGTATACATTATATATTGCGATTGCTGAATATACCGAATGCAATAAAAATTGAAATAAAAGTATTATTATCAAAATGGCATTGGATTCGATTTTCAGTTTATAGTTTTGAATTTATAGATTAAATGATGACGATGGTGACATTGTGTGTGGTGAGTAAATATGATGGATCATCCATTCGAAAAAACGTCTCAAATTAATCCATGCTGTCCTCGAAGATGTGCAAGCCTTGGAGATTAGGAAACGAACGGATGCACTTGCTTTTGCTTTCTTTATTTCACTTTTAGAAATGTGGAAATATATATATATCGAAATTCAAACTTCGATCAACTTCGATTTTCCAACATTAAGATTTTAATCAGATCAGTTGAACATGGTCAGCTGCTTGGGTTCGAAATAGTTCAGTATTTCATTTGCATATTAGAATTTGGACTTACAACTTAGTAAAATGCGTCGAAATCATGTTAAAGTTTCTAACTAGATGCACAACAAAATGATACAGCAGTTGGATAGAATTCAACAACTTCAGTTAGTTATTCAAAACCAAATGCCGTTTACCCAATGAATTATAAAACACACAAACAAAATAAAACATTTTCTTGTTGTATCACATTTATTGAATGCAAATAACTATTTCCGTCATTGAATTTCATAAGCAAAATATTTATACTCTAACCGATATGATCCTGTTGCATAATATAATAATGGGACACTGGTAAGCAATGCATAAGTTTGATGTTTTTCTATATCTAAATCTTCTCTTTTTCATACTGTGATTCAGATTTTCTAGATTTTTTACTCTCGTTCTTTTTCGTTGGCCATTTATCCGAGTATCATATTAGTACGATGATGAAGATGATGTTATTCATTCGTGTGAATTCTATATGGTTTGTAAAATATGAAGAGCGCCTCAGGCAGTTTGATGAGCTTCAGTCCATTCAATGGCATCGCTATTTATTATATCCTCTGCGCATATCGCATTGTAAATATATTTCATTCGCTTTGGAAAAATGCAAGTCTGTGCACAGCATGCCGAGAACGGATTGTTGGGGCGTTCAAGATATTCGATATTATGTGTAATATATTTGCTTGGAGTTGCATGTACAAAAAAAAAAGAAAAGATGAATTAGACTGAATCGGCTTGTGGAGAAATTTTGTAGCATATTGCAATGTGCCAATGAAAGCAACTAAGAGATACGAAAGGAATTTCTGCTTAGAAAACATATAAAACACAACATAAAACATTTTGCAGGTATACAATACCGGGAAACATCAGGTTTATTTAGAGAAAGAAGCAAACGAGAAAGAGAGAGAGAGAGGGGTGGAACGTGGGAGGGAGAGGGAGAGAGGTAGTTTCAATAGAGATGTGATTTATTATTGCATATTTGCTTGGAAAATTATTCGATACATGATTCGATATGAGCTATTTTCAATATTGTTGTGCGGATCGATCGTGTGCGAGTTGAAAAATAGCGCAATATGTTAAATATTATCTACAAAGATATGCAGAAAATAACACATGCTAAACGAACGGCTATCACTTTATTACATATTCTAAACTTGACTTACATTCACTGGCGCAAGCTGCTTTCGAAAGCTTCAATTTGGAAGCCTGTTCAAAAATTCAAATAAAAATCACTCCATTTGCTTCTTAAGAAACATTTTCTTTTATTATTCCTTTTTAAATTTCTTGTACATCATTTCTGTCATGCCATTACAATTTAAATATTTTCAAGCAATTTTATGCAATCGAATCCCCACCGAGTCACAATTCAATTTATAATATAAATCATCGGATTGAAAAAGATGAAAAATTTGATCATATCAAAGTGGTTACAATCACGTTTGCGATTTATTGGATTGAAATGCATTAAATTGCGCTACTTAAATCTGATGTTTATTCAAGTGGTTTGTCGCTGACAACATCGCCCAATGTTTTAGCAAGTTCAATGTCTCCAGTGACCATAGCTTTACCACTCTGGACAGCTTCTTCGAATGAAAGTTCGTTGGTGGCTACTTGAACCAGAGCTGGGCCATCAAAGTCGACGGACACATCAGGTGCATCGCTAACATCGCCATCCAAAACTTCCAGCTTATTCAAATCAAGCGTAACGACTCTTGCTGATCCGTCCTCATTTTTGATATTCAGTTGAAATACACCAGTCACTTTGCGCGGACCATCAGGATCGACGCTTGCAATACGGGCACGGATTTTTTCAACAATTTCATCCATTCTTGGCTTTGTTTTAAATTAAAATTTCTTTCACACACAAAATATCAAAGCTTTTATTCAAACAAAGAATGCTTTATTCCGATTAAGAAAATACTGTGTACTTTATGAAAATCACTGAACAACTGACGGCTGCTTAGACGAATGCTCGAAATTTATACGCTCTCAATCGTTGACTTTATCGCACTCATTTATCAGTGAGCAATGAACATACACATTTTCATTGCCGCAATGTAGACTTTTCGGTCATTTATCATCATTTTCATCGGTGTACACTGTTTTATTGGTGCATTAGACTAGGGGATTTGGTATGAATCAATGCCACACAAGGTGCAAACAATAAAATCGTAGATACTTGTGATTGTTCGCGACCGGTTAAGCAACCATAATCTTCCGTTAAAATAAGTCTGTAATTGGCACTTGTAAATTTGTTAAAAATCGAATTATTGAAGATGAAAATTCCGCTACTGTTTGCCACTTATTATGTGTAATTTTTAGCAAGTATGTGTCGACATTTGGAGTCTAAAAAGTGTGACTTTTTACGATTGAACACAAACATTGAATTCCCCTTGTTATACTCATTCTCCTCACATTGTTCACCCAATTTTTTTATAGATCCACTTGGCTATTCACGGCCACACAACAAAACACAACACAAATTACAATGAGTCGTAATAATCATAATCGTTTGGTATATCGCATAATTATGCGACCGTAAAAAGGAAACTTTTTACCAAAAGCTGTGATTCGCGTGTTGGAAAAATTTATTTTTGTCGTCATTTATTTGAACTGTGTTTTGGACACTTTTTTGTTCAAGCAATTTTGCCCAACGGTGGTCAATTCATAAGTCTCGAATTGATTGGTTGTAACGGGGGAAAAATTGCTTTTTGTTTTTACGGTTGGTCACTAGCGATAAAAGTACAGAATGTAGACCAACAAGAGTTGTTTAATTGTACACAATTGCAATTGTTGAATAAAAAAATCGATGAAATGTTATATTTTCAGCTCAGTTAAATTAGTTTAGTTCGGAATTGAGGTTTTCCATCAAATCGAACTACTGTTACATGAAAAATGTATGATGGTATTGAAGCTTTAAACGAATAAATAAATCATGGACAAATTGGCATGTTTGAAATAACAAAACAAGCAATGGAATGTTCGTTCAAAATGATGAACTATCGCTGGTCACCACAAAAAAAGTATTGCCGAATCATGATTTCGAAATAGAACTGATTAAGTTAAATTGAAAGTTTTCAATCATAATTTGTTCAATTTCTGAT